TTCAACTATTTAGAGGAGAGCAAGAATACTTTAGAGGAAAAGGTAAAACAGAAGGTGCTGAACGATATAGAGAAGGCCATGAATGACTTGATAAATAAGATTAAGCCTGAGATGAAGAACAGTCTTTTGGCAAATATCGTGCTCTGCGGTGGCTATGCCAAGCCGCCTTCTTTAACTGAGAAGATTTATGATGTTTTGAGCAAAGAGCATAAAAATATAAAAGTAACGAAAGAATTAGACATTTTCAGCACTTACACAGGATGTGATATTTTAAGCAGGCTAGATGATCTCGACTATTTCATAGGAATGAAGGATTATGAGGAGTATGGCGCTAATGTTCTTGATAAGTTCAATATTGAATGGAGAAAATAATTTACCTCCCGTAAATAAACTGTGATAGCATCGTTTAACAGATAGCGTATTTTGTGGTATTGGTTGATCCCTTTCTTCGTATTCTCGTGGTTACATTTACTGCGTAATTATTGATCATGGTTTAATTCTTATGGTTGTATTTTGTGGACAATTTTGTTCTTTCTCCTCGTTTATCAATGCGTTAATTTCGTAGTTTATTTGCCACGTGTTTATTTCCCTTCTGAGTTCTCATGGTTTTATTTCACAATGCGTTTTCTCTTTATTTATCAAAGTTCACATCGTAATTTTAGGTCGATTTACGTAGATCAGTATTTATTATGATGTTTAACGATCAGATCCTATCACCAAACATTATTCCTTTCAGCATTAAATACCTTACCTCTACCATCAATACTATGAGCTAAGCATTTTATTTCAAATATTACCATCGTTTGTAATCAATCGCTCTGTAACGATCAGCAGGCTTTATGAGCGTACTAGCTGCACTAGACTGTTTGTGAAACGGAAGTTTAAATTAGCATGCATTCAATAGAATTTATCTGTCTTTATTCTCAAATGTATTTAAGTCGGCCATTCTTAACAGGTGCTATAAAATTAATCTCTGTAAGCGGTGGTATTTTTACTAAAAATCTTCGGTAAATGACTGCTGAGTGAATTTCAGAACATACGAATTGTATGCCAACATATAAATTTTGATTTTCCATGATAAATGCGTTTAAACCTTTTGTTTTTTTATCGAATTTGCCAATCAGTTTGCGAAAGTTTCTTATTGTGAGCGTATAATGCTGAGCCATCGAAGTTTTCGATGCTCAGTTACTTTGTCTAGCGTGTATAAACAAGAACGTATGATCTGTACATGTATTTGCATTTTTTGCTTAATGTCTATGCATTCGTAGATTGATATTTCTCTCTCTATTCCTGTAGAGTTATAGGGCTCTGCGATAATGTTTAATGCTCTCTGTTTGTTTTTATACTTTTAATGCATAATCGATCTAGAACCTAGAATAAGCAATTTAATAAGATTATTCATGCAATGTATATAAATAAGATTATTTATTTCCAAATACCTCATTAAATCAGATTTTACACAATTGCACGTTCTAACGATAAGCTGTACCAAAGACACTTTTATACCAAATTCTTTTACTCGTTCCATGAATTTCCACACTCCTTAACAAACCTGCGTGTTTAATTGGATGATATGCTGTAAAGCGATAAATAAACTAATTTTTAATAAAAAACAATTCCTTAACAAACCTTCCTCATCCTTTTCATAAACTTAAGAACAATTAAAAGAGTGTATAATGTTAAAGAATGTATAATGTTAAAGAGTGATATTTTACCTAATAATAATTTACAAGTGATGTATTCTAATACGTGTTACACAGCTCTCATTCATAAATGCAATATAGATCTAAATATTAGTTAATTATTCAATTGCAGACCAATTACGTATCGTACGTATAATTAAAACAATTTATCAGCACACAGTAATATTTGTATTTATCTTTAGTAGTAGTTAAGAGCGTTAGAAAAAGGAATAAATATTGAGTTGATCCTTTTATTACGATCTATGATCTATTAAAAACGTTTATTTTACTTTATAGACTAAATAACATTCCCTTAAATTATAAATTAATTGCTTTTAACAGTAAATGTAAGACTTATCTGTCATGATGGACTCATAAATGTGTTAATATTAACATTTAATATTATTTAAACTAACCAATCAGTTTAAGAGTTGATTATAAAACAAATGAGCACATCATTAAGACTAATTGATCAGATTAAACACTTAACTGCATTACATGAATGCATTAAATTATTATTTGAAGGAAATTATCATTTTTCCTGATTGGTGATTTATTTTTATTATATTTTGGAGGTAAAATAGAAAGCGTTGTGATGTCAACAAGCGTTTGTTTAACGACAATTTAATACAAACTGTTCTACATCAACAGATAGTGTTACAGAGGGTATTACAACCAATTTAACATTCTCTGAATGCATGACTGATAGATCAATCATAACATGAAATAGGATTTTAATGTATGGATAATACGTTTTCTTCAATAAAAACGTTCTTTTTAATTAAATACGTACTTAGTAATAAAATTTATTATTTAAAATAAAATTTACTTATTACCTCAGTTTCTCTTCATTCTAATGGTTACCACATCATTTATTTATCCTAAAAATATTACAATGATGAAATAACATTCATAAACAATCAATGCGTATAAATAAGCAATACGCATAGTAAGAAA